CTGCTTATGCTGCCACCAAGGGGATGAGAGAAGTGGGGCAGCATTCAGTTCCTGCTCTTCCGTTTTGTGGGTTTGTCTGCTTATTTTGTGTCAGTGTAGAACTGTTAACTCACATTCAGCTTATGATCTATTACATCCCCAAACATTTTTTCTGGAAAAAAAACCAACTCTTCAGCCAGTTGTTCGCCATCTTCTATTTATATAGTTGTTGATTTCTATCTTGATGTGGAACCTCACTCTATTTCTGATTGAATTATATCCTGTTTTTTCAAACCACATCTCCAGCTTCTCAGGATTTTAATTTTAATCATCTCTCCTAGTATACCTGTAACCCCTCCAAACCATATGTTGCTAGGAAATTTAATAAGCATGTTCTCTAGTTCATTATCCATACTGTTAATGAGAACATTGAATAATTCTGAACTCAGGAACAAGTAGTCAGACTCAATTTTGGGATATTTTCTGTCTGTTCTTCAGTATGTTTTCTATGCCATATTGTATCATTTCCAAAACTGATGAGAGTATTTGTTTCAGAGAACAGACCGCTGCTGACTTAAGTGAGAATTGGATGAGAGAAACCATGCCTCTTTAAGGCAACCAGCACCTTCATGTACTTCTTTGATTACCTGCAGATCAAAAAATTGAAAGCAGCTGCAAACTTATCTCCCAAAAACAACAACTTGGTTCATATCTTTTCTAACCTGACCATCTTAGTTTAAAAATCTTAAAAGCTTGAATAATAGCACCGTAGTAAAAACAAAACACACAAACTTGTGGGAGAAAAGGTGGCCTCTGAGAGCCCCAAGAGGTAAGGAGGAAATGTCAGCCTTTCCTTGAAATAAAATGGGCTAGGAGTATAGCATGAAGTGAGCTTGAAGTGAGCAGTGGAGACATGAAAGGAGGCCCCAGAGTGTGCTCAGCCTCCAAGAACTAGTAAAGGAACTCAAGCATTACAGAGTGAGTCCCATGCCACTGACATCTTTTAGACCAGAAATGGCTGGGAGCTGCCAGGATACTTGTAGCAGTTGGGGAAGACTTCGGTTGAACCAGGCACTTTTTTAAACAACACAGACACTTATTTTCTACAGTTGTATGAAAAAAAAAGTAGGGAAAATAGAAAAAGAAACAATTTAAAATAAAATTATATGATTTTTCTGTTAATTTGGGAGAAGACATTCTTGCACTGTAACTTTCACCCTTTTGTGGAAATGCATTGCGCACTAGTTTTCCTTGACAGTATCGTGGTGAGTGGAAGAATCACAGGAAACAGGTTTCATTCTCAACTAGGTGATGTTGGGCAAGTCACTTCCATCCATTTATATCTTATTTTCCATTTGAAAAACAAAAGAGCTACTTCTACTGATTTCTTTTCTGACGTACTTAGAGAACTACAATCATACTAAGTAAGAGCTGAGTTTTATTATTACAGATTTTTTTTTTGGACTTTCACTCATTCAGTCTATGGCTACAGTGAGTCTGCCATTCCTTAATTTTCAGGTGGCTGACCTTGTAATTTGACGTTCTTTTGAGGAAATCTCCTCATATAATGCCTGTTAAGAACATCCAGGTAGCATACAATACATCCTGTATGGTATTAAATTGAAATTCAGTAACACTTCGTAATATATCCTCCTGCTCCAGAATGTAATAAAGAAGCCAGCTATTGATGGAGATGGGAGCAACTGTAGCTTATTACTTTAGCTACAACTGATTAGAAAAATAAAAAAGCCTAAAACCATGATGCACACCGTCCTGATTGTACAGTACTGACAATGATGAAAAAAGGGCCGTAGGGCGGAAGCGCTTCCAGCTGCTGCATGCGCGGGGTCCCGCGGCGGCGCATGGCTGTCCCGGCGATGGGATTAAGCGCCAGTGCGAGCTTTGCCGCGAGCGTGGGGCTCGGCACTGCTCGCCGTGTTCTCTGGCTGCCACCGACAAGGGAGTTTGCTATCAAGGGACTCGCAAAACGTCTGCGAGTGCCCGGTTCTGCTTTGTCTTCCACCTCCAGCCCGGGAAGCCGAA